CATCATCCTAATACTATTATTCAATTTCATCATCTTCAATCTTTAATAATATGTCCTTTATCTCTTTAGTCGCATCTTTTATGGGTTTAAAAAAAGTAACAAATAAATATTTTTTATATAAAAAAATTTCTACACATAATAATAAATATGAAATCATAAATTTTCACAAAATATATCATCAACTTATAGTGAATTACGACATTTAATTACGATTATATTTTGATTTTATCAGGTAAATTGATTTTTCACAACACATACTATTATTTTTTCAAAAATATTTTTTCTTAAATTCTGTTTGTAGTAACTCTGTTTCTACAAAAGATTCATTTTAAAAAAAATTAAAAAAAAATTTTAAACATAAATTTGTTCTAAAATTTTAACCCCAAAATTCAATAAATAAATTAGTAAACAACAACACTATTAACAACACAACAGATACAAGTAATATTAAGTCTTACTTCACACAATATGTCGTCACGGATCGTATCTCTAGGGTAAAACATGGCACTGTTAATTGTAAAAACGGTCAATTTTTGATCAAAATTTTATTTAGTTAAAAAACTATTTTAAATTAAATTTGTTTCAATGCCTTTAATTTATTATGTAAACCATCGTTTATATTTTAAGTGATATAAATTACAGCCAAAATTTGTTTGGAAATAAAAAATCACATAATATGTTTAATTACATGATTTATATTTGTTAAATATAAAATTGATACAGTTAACTTTTTTTATTAAAAAGTTTGATTTTCTATTAATCGTAATTTGATTGTTCACAGTTAGCCATCTTTTTGATATTTTAAATAAAAATTGATTATTAAATCATTTTTGGTGAAATTTTTAACTAAATCTCTTGAAAATTTTTGTTAATTAATTCGTTTTTTGTTAAATCTTTATCTTTAATAATTAAAGGATCAAATTAATAAAAAATTATTCATTATAATTAAATTTTGAATCAAAATTTCAATATGGATATCTTAATATACTAAATATTATATTTTTAGGTGAAAAAGTTTGATGTTTCATCATTTATTTATTAAAAATCTTATTTTAAAACATAAAATTCTTTTAGAGGTATATTTGGATTTAAATAAAAAATCCCTTAAGATTTTAAATACTAAATTTTCGATAAAATAAAGACTTTCATATTTTTATTTAAATTATAATAAAACATTATGATTTGATAATTAAATG